TTTGTAGCATTACTCATGAATTTGCTACATAATTATTATTTCGATTGTTTAATTATTTTCAAATCTGTATCTCTATATATATCTAAATTTTTTAAATTCTAGCATTTCGATTATTCTTTATTAAGTCTAAATTCAATTCTTGCTCAGAAAGAATGTTTGACCTGTGGTGTGCGTCGCAACGAAAGCTCGTTTGATATAGTTGAAAATACATTTATAATAAATATGTTTATAGCACCGGAAATTAAAGCAGCCAAAATTGCATCGGCTATAATTCTCGGATTTTCTCGCGCTGGTGAATTTTCCGCGGATGATCCCGTATCCGTTGCACGCGCGCGAGAAATTCGCCCGGACGTTTCACGGGACCCGAGAGAATCCCGCAGGTAAAGGAGGCGAGAGAGCCGTAGTTTACAAACAGAGACTCGTACGATGTGTACACGGTACGCTGCCCCCCATTATTTTAGGCTGTGGAAACTCTCCTTTCCTATCTGTTTATGGAATCAGCTGCCAGTAACTTCCTCGACGTGCTCACCTGCCGGGAGCAATGGACAGACCTTCCGAGGCCAGAGAGCCTCAGGAAAATCCGCCGTTCTTTCCTCGGAACCCCGAGGCCGACAAACGAGTCAGCCGATTTTCAATTTGCTCTACCGGCCCCGAGTTTGCCTTTCTGCCTTCTTCAGTGAGTTAAGTAATCCCGGAGGCGAAACTGGCGTTCTTTTCGAGAGCGAAACGGTTGCGTGGGATTTCTGGAATGCGAAAAATAAATTCGACGGTTACATATAGAAATCCTAAATTAAACTAACAATCTCCTAGGAGGAGTTGTTGCTATATAGCCTACAATATTTTCTTTTTTTTTTTTTGTAATATCTATATAATTATATCAATATCAATATAATTTATGTAACAATATATATTTACATACAGCTCTTAAAATGTACAAATTTCTATTCGCCAGGATACTTTTAACGGTACGGAAAAGCGCAGGAAGGAAACACGAAAAATAGAACTCGTTAGAAGTCTTCGCTCGCACTCTGACCCCGCAAACTCGTTTTCCGACGACGATATCGCACCGCAAACCGGAATAAAGTACGCGACATGGCAGGGGCGACAGAGCCGATATAATCCGATTTTACGAGGAGGCCCCAGCACGGAAAGAAAGAGACAGGGAGACAAAAGGGGAGGAAGATGCTATCGGGCCCCGCGCCAGTCCCAGGCGATATAAACTTAGACGCGAATTAGTGGTGCCGCGATAGCATCTCATTCCGTGGCGAGCGTGCGATCAGGAATTTATCGAGAAATTAAATTAGGAATTATGCTAATACACCCCCTCCCCCCTCTCTCATCGCCCTATATAGACGGCATTTCACCGTAGTCGACCTCCATGAATGAGCGGCGGTGGCATCACGTTTCTCTGGTTATTTATGCGTTATTTGCACCATCCAATTAAAGGGTACCACCTTTCGTAAAACTGCTCTCACATGGCGTGCAACATAATTTGCTGGATCGACGTTACGTGATCCTTAGAGAATTTACGCGGAACATAGATTCAAAACTTGAACTCAACATATACACTGAGAGGAAAGTATTGGGTATATTTGTGACTGTAATTGCATGGTAAAATAATTATGGTTATAACCGCTCCATTTGTATTGTTATTACTGATATAATGTTAGTAGTAACTTAGCGTCGAGAACACTGCCTGTCTGCTGATAATTATACATATTTTTATATATATATATATATACTAATAAATGTATAAGCTGGCATTGAAAATGATTATAAATTGTGGTTAAATTATGATAATTGCAATTTTTTTCTCTCAGTATAACATTAAAATAAGTGGATTATAATAAATTATATATTATTATAATAAATTATACGATAGAGTACAAAATGTTCTACCAAAAATCTAGATAAACCAATATAATGGTAATAAACATTATTATCTAGTTTAAATAATTTAAATTTGTTAAAAAAAGAAATTTGCTTGTATCTTCAATGAAGTAGCTGAGTCGTTAATCCCAATTTTATGACACCGGTCGGTGCGAGAAAGATAACGACGAAGGCGCGGCTAGTTTTATTAATCGGCTGGTCCGTAAATAAGATTTACTCCGAAATTCCGTAGCGGTCGCTGAGATCGATTCGTCTCCATTTTTCGTGAGACAACGGCGACTCACGTAGGACCATCTACAGATAAAATCTCTTCACATTCCTGGCATTTTTTATAATCCTTGACGTTGATCTCGACACGGACGATGCGAGCATAAACAGAATGTCTAAAGTAAAAAATCTGGTCTATTGTTTTTATGGTTATTAAGTATGATGTTTTAAAGAACGAAAATTGCGACTGTGTAATATTTTACAAAATACTTATATGCGATGATACAGAAATGACGTCCCAGTTAATTAGAAATTGTAACTTTCGTTAGATAGACTAATTTCAAGAAATAGATTTGGTTACGACTGTGTTAATGAATAATATGAAAAAAAAATGAATATGATGACACAATTTTACATATATTATACAATATAATAATATAAAATTTATTATATAGTGTATATATTAAAATTATAAAATTTATTTCCATTAATTAAATATAACATCTTATTAAAATATAATGTTTTCAACAATCTAATTGTAAGCACTATTGAAATTGGCGAACATTCCTCCTTTAGCTGATATTTTATGCATGTTTTTACAAACAGTTATTTTGTACGATAAAAAAGTGCCTAATTGAATTTAGCATATCATTGTAAAAATCTAAAAAAAAGCAGAGACAAAAATTGATTTAAAGATTATCGCGAAGATAATAGGATGACAAATTGCACGGAGATAATTATTAATTATTCCCATTGGGGGGTTAAATCGTTGAAGCTTCCAACATTTAAGAAATTTCTCTTTCTCTTTCTGTCTCTCCTCGATTCCACGTGGCCATCGAGGAAAGGAAAGAAAAGAAGAGAGAAGCGTCGATCCCGGAGACGCGGAATAAGTGTCATGGCGACGGGGCTTCGAAATAAATGTCTCCTACACGCGATGAGTCACAAATCCTAATGAAAATAATAATACCCGAAAGATTCCGTTCTTTCGTGGCCGTGCGGCGCAACGAGGATAAATTTACTGCGCGATCTACGGACGGATAAGGCATACCTGGGGACACCTCCGTCCGGTTATAGGTTCTACCATGTAACGGGTGGTACAAAGAAGATCTTTACGATAGACTCGGTCTTACATTGTTTCAATACGTCCGGATCTCGTTTTTATTCGATTATACAGAAATGACAGCTAATCAGAAATCGTAACTTTCGTAATGAAATTAATTGTAAGATATGGCTGATAGTAATGGATAATAAGGAAAAAATAAATATTGGAGGCAGTTTTGTACATTTTGCCTTTAATGTATATAGAATTTGCTCTTATTGTCGATCATATATTATTACATAATTCGTCTTGATATAGAGACTGATACTAATATAATCTTCTTGTGAGTTTAGTTTTCCATTCTGTATGAATTTTGTATTAAATCGTTTCGTCTTTAGGACAGACAGAGATGACTTTTTTATAGCTACAATATCGAAATGTAGACTTATCAGAATTTAAATGTGGCATTAGCTGAAACACTTTTGCTGTCGTATATATTAACAAACGCGATTAGCATTAAATTAGAAAAAAATATTCCCTATTTAAAAAATTCAATATATATACTGAGAGAAAAATATTGTATAATATCGGAATTTTTTACTTTATCTTAGTTTTTTAAGAGTTTGCTAGAAATTTGGCGGCGATATACCGCAAACGGAAACTTTTATCAGCATTGTCCTTCGAGACTACGATTTCGAGAGTTCAGATATCTTCCGTGCTCCCTTATCATCCCGGTAGTTTCTCTCTCGTATCAAAGACCGGTTCTCGGAAACACCCCATAGACAAGTGTCGCAGCACTTGCCTTGAACAGTGCGATATCGCCGGTCTCACGTCTAAACGACTTGTAAAACAAGCGCTTAACGATTGCTGGTACCTGGAGGAGATAGACAAAGAGAAAGTGGGAAAGACTGAGAGAGACAGAAAAGGAGAGGAATAGAAGGAGAGGTAGGCGAAGGGGGTTTCGGGCCCGTAGGTCCCACGTGCTTCGAGGAGGTCCAGGCTGCTAAATTGAGTTTACGAGACGCCGAGAGCGTCTCTCTCGCCTTTTCTCATACTCTTTTTTTTTTTTCCTTATTCTGTCTCTTTTCCCTTTTCGCTACACATCTCTTTAAGACCCTGCCTCCCTACACTCAGTGCCCGCCCTTAATTCACAAGTACGAAAAAGGCAGAATATACCCTCTTCTCAGTACTTTACACACCGACACCGGCGTTATCTTAAGCGATATTATTTCGATTCCCCAGCCTCGCGCCGATCAGCATCGTTAGTTTACTCGCTGCTTTAAACGTGACGCTTGCGCCTGCGAATGCAATTAAAGTGTGCTAGGATGTCTTTATAATGGACTAATGGAGAACGTGTCTCTAATGGGAATCGGTTAATTATATTAATATACGAACGTATATTAATATTATACAATTCGCATCACTTTTAATTACGCAGCTTACTTAGTATTCGATACATTATTTATTTTGAGGTAATTATAAATTTCTAGACAGAGTTAATATCACTCTTAATTATCGGTATCTTAATTTTTGTAATGAAGGATTAATAATTAATTTTTTTAAAATAAGGGGAACAAATAATGAGATAGGAAGAGAGAGAGAGAGAGAGAGAGAGAGAGAGAGAGAGAGAAAGAGAGGAATACACTAAGATTACATTTGATAACAGTATAATTAGCATAACAACTCTTAAACATGGTGTATAATAATGATGCAATTAGCATAACAATTTGTTTAAAACCAACTCGTGTTCAACCTGCCGTCTTTTACTTGGAATTTTTTGTACGCAACGTAGTATATCTTCGCAAAAAGGCCAGTTGTTTTTTTTTTTTTTTTTTGAAAGCCACACACTGCTTTGCAATTTCAGCGGCCAGAGGGAGGATAAAACTCACGGCGGAGGTCTCGGGGATTCCAGCAGCGAGAGTGGCGACGAGACGAAGCGGCAGTCCGGCCAGCAGCAACAGCAACAACAGCCGTCTTCCTGCGCGGTTCAACAGCAACAGCAGCAGCAGCAACAAATGGTGGACCATCAGCAAACCTCTAGCATGTACCAACTTCCGCCACCAGCTTCCGTCTCAGTTTCCAGTCCGCATTCGTATCACCAAGGTCATAGCTCGACCTTGAGCCATCCACACATGCAGCACCACGACACGAGTAGTGAAAGCGGCGACGACAAGAGGAACCTCCATCATCAATTACAGCACCATATCCAGGTGGGCGCTCACGGCGCTCATGGTTTAGTCCATCCTGCCGCCACCTTGCCACCACCACCGCCTAGCTGCGCTCAACAGAAAAGTCAGCTAGATTACATGCAATACTACCCACAGGTAGGACGACGAAATAATCTTAAATATTTATTTCTCTAAAAGTATGCGTTACTTTTAATCTTTTGTAAAGCGAAACCACGAGAGATAGAAAAATGCAGTACTCTTTTTAACTATTTTTCGCATTCTCTTTGAAAATGAAGAAATTGTTACATACTGTCTTTCTATGATAACGAAAGTGGAAAATTATTATTTTATTCTGATGTAATGAAAAGGATTTCCGAAAATATTAATATATTTAAAAATATTCAATATCTCGGAAATATAATAATTCTAGACCTTTTTTACCTCACGAATGCAAAGGTCTAAGAATATGTATTTGATATTTGAATGCTACAACAGTAACACATACATTTATATTTTATAACTTGTGCAGAAATAGATTAGAGAAATATGAGAATTTTCTATGACAGGACTATCTAATCGGGACGCCAACCTCCGCGGATCTACAGAAGTCCTTACCGCACACTGCAACGTCGATGCAGATGGGTGCGATCGCCCCTTCTATGGGCGGGTTGAGCCCGATGGGCCCCTCGACGATGCTGTCCAACACCATGCAAAGCGTCAACACTATGAACACCATGTCGATGAACGGCATGGGCATGGGCGCTTATCAAGGCATGGGCTCCATGGGGATGTCCACGTCGCATGCGAGTTACCACAGCGGCCTCGTGCTGGGCGAATACCATTCGTTGTGACCTTGGGCCCCAAGCACTCAGAGCAAGAGGAGTCAAGAGAAGACTTAATGCACATCGGCGGAGCGCAAGACTTCCGATTGATCAAGGTATTCAAGTAGCTTGCTCCGAAATTTGGATCGCCAATCAATTATTACTGTTGGAGACAAATAAAGACCTGCTGAAATTCATTTAACACGTCGATTAATAAAAATTAACTTGGAGTGTGATATATATAAATTTATTAGTAATCTCTTTAATTATTAAATAACATGAATTTTACTTGCGTCAGAAATATCTTTTTCAACACGATAATTTTTTGACGATCCGATAATGTCCAGATAAAAGTGGAGAGAAAAGTCTTCTGTGGATATATCGTTGTATTATCCTTGAGCTTTTCTCGGTGTATGTTTAGAGCGTATGAAGAGCGTCAAATAGCCGTCTATCAAATCGTCACGTCCGCTCAGGTATTCAGAACAATTTTCTTTAATCAAGAGACGCGGGAGCGTCTCTCGTCGAATATATTTTTGAAGTTTAATACACTTTATATATACGAAACATTTTTCCAAAATAAAAATATCTGTATATAATTATTACTTAAAAAAACACCTCGAAATTCAAATTGAGTATAATTTAATGTCATGAATTTAACACTGTACCTTACATATTTTATTTTTTATAAATATCTTTTTATAAATATCACTGTATAAATATCTTTATATTAACTTATTTTTTAATTGAATAATGGTAATCTAAACTTGATAAAGGGATAAATATACATGTTTGTATCGCTTATTTATTGGAACAATGACATAATTGAAAAAAATCAAATTTTTCAGAAGATGAGGTTGAATGTTTTTAATCATTAAAATTTTGTAAATATCAGTATATGAGGTAAATATTAGTATATAAAGTCATACATACGAGACGATCACAGGAACGGAAATTATACGTCTAACATACTGAGATTTTACTATACGCGTGCTCCTAGCGCGAGACGTTATTTTGTACATAAAATTCCATGTTCAATGGAATCTCGAAAATACATATTGCATGTGAAATTAATATAATTTGTAATTTTCCATGTAGGCTGCAATATTATATGATTATGCTAGATCGAAGAAAACCCAGCATAATCATGTAACGTCACACAAATTTTTTTTAATGTATTGTCTTGTAATAAATGTTTGCAATTCAGTTATGACGATTTACCAGAATTAAAAACGACGTTGTATTTTTGTATTAACAACTAAAAAATGACAATTTTTGAGTTCTGTCGTTGTTTTGGCAAATAAGCGATATATATTTCAAACTATAATTATTTAATTAATTTCTAGTTAAAAATGTATATTTATCCGTTTATTTGGCAGTGGAAATTCTCCAAATCTTTTCCTGAAAAAAAAAAGTAGAAAAAATAATATCTCTCTTATCCTGAGTGTATCCGTGAAAAATCAAAGGATGCCGAAGCGACGATGACGTTTCCGAATGAAATAGCAAAAGACATATTAGCATTTTACTTTCCCAGTTCGTACACTCTCGCGGCAAGCCGGCTAGACCGGCTTGTGTTTACCACTATTTCCATAAGTAAACAACGGGCGAAAAATCCCAACCAACTTTTCTGTCCCATCGCCGTACTTGGCGCCATACTTCTTTGATTTTGCCCGAACGGGACAAATTGCACGATGAAGCAATGTTTGTGTTTTGTACGCGAAATACACGCGAAATACGCGCGAGCGAATGTAACTTACCCCTTACCCCCATCCTCCTTCACTTCATGAAAGCTGTGCTCTAAAATTCACTGTCAGTGCTGAAAATTTATAGGATATGTAATCGTAAGTGATAGATTTTCAGCGCTGACAGTAAATTTGGAACACAGCCATAGATTCAATCAGCCGATTAATTTACTATAACCAACTATACGCTCCTCTTACACCATACGCTTTTGTGTTTGTCATGTATGTACATATGTATAATACACACGGCATATTATTAAGTTAATCTCGTTCTTGTTCGCTGCCTACCGGGTGTTCCCATATCCACTGATTTGGATTCCCCGGAACATGATTTGAAATTTTAAACTTTTGATGTTTTAACGATTAAAGAATTTTTATGTTCTATAATTTGAGGCCTTTAATTTAGTCTTCCTCAGCTTACATTACATTTTTTACAATCTCATTAAAGAATATAATAGAATTTTTGGAAGCAGCAAGCTATAGATGATATAAAATAGGCCAAATTTTACAAAATGCTTTATTATTAAATCACATTTCATAGATGATTTGTGCATGTGAGGAAACAGATATTATTAAAGAGGAAACGTTCACAAAAATAATCACAAGTAATATTATTAAAAAGTCAAGCTTGTCGATAATAATAAACAAATATTTATAAATTCACATTAATTATTACTGATAAAAATTGCAATATTGTATGATGATTTAATTGACTAAAAACAGCAGGATGGATGCTAAGCTTTAGGGGTACTCCCAGTAGACAGTGAATGCTGTCGCAGAATAAGATAGTGCGTAAGTTATCATTTATTCGCAGTTCGCACTCTGTACATAAGTATATCTAAAGACAGTGAGAAAGTGAGAGGGAGAACGAGAATGTTACGTGCACGAAAAAAAAAGGGAATGTAAAGGTAGAGCAAAAAAGATGTTACGCATGAGTGTGGCAAAAGTAAAGTCGAGATATCGAGATGAATTCTTGATTCGTTATTCAAGAGAATATACATATATTAAACTATACATATATTAAACCGCTTTTTTCTTTGCCAAAGAACAGAGCTCAAAATTCGCTCGTTTATTCGTCACGATCTTCTTTCTTATATTTTAAATAATGCTTTTATTTGTTTGAACAATTGAAAATTCCATGATATATTTAATATTTCTATTTTTTATTTTATTTTATCGCAAAGAACGCGCAAGATGTAAAAAGATCATTTACCGAGACTTATAAAGTCACTTTTAAAATGATTCGGGAGCGCTTACATTCATCTCGAATGTCGACTTTCCATTCGTGAGCTATCTCGCGCGCAGATGTCCTAAATATTCCGTTAGCTATGACATTGCCTTGTAGATTCTTATCTAGGATGTCGAGGAGAGAAAGGATTTCCCTTATGAAAAAGTCCTCGGGACGAAACAGGGTAGAGGAGTAGGATCGAGATGGAGAGAAAGAGAGAGGAGACGTGGAAAATAATATCTTCGATCTACGGCAAGCCGATCGACGTTATTTTCATTTTTGTATCACATTCGTTGTATTCTGTGTATTTGTTCCTTATAGAAATAATTTGACATTACATTGAAACATTTATTCAACAATTCATAAGTGCCACATTATGTGTTATAATAGAGAATATTAACGGCTGGTAAAAGAAGAAATCAACTATATAATATCTGTTATACAACATATCTATTTTAATTAATGAAGGATACAACAGATAATACGTAACAATATGTACAACGTTTTTATTCACTATTTGACTTAAGTGCGATAATTTTACATTTTACCAACGCTATTCTTTTGAATTATTTCGAGATTTTTTTTCTTGTAATATAACAATTTTTTTAATTTTTCTATGAAAATATTATCGCCAGTCAGTCTTTGAATCAAAGCTCAAGGTTAAAGCCAATCCCGTGTTAAATCGTACGTTGTATTAAATTATTAAATTAAATATAAGATTCGATCGAAACTTATTTGTTGATAAATTAACGAGCCATAAATATTGTACTTCTGCAATCTTGTTCACAGAATATTATGCAATACAGTTTTAATCGCGTTTTATGTTAGTTTTTCGTACAGGCAATAAGCATTATGCTTTCTTAAACAGGCAAATTTTTTTGCAAAATTATGTAAACTGTTTTAAAATGCTTCGGCTGGATGAACGGTACAACAACTGAAACTAATTACTAACACAGAAATATAGCTATCATTTTACTCTCTTGCATTTGGAGCGTTATTTAAGAGCGTCTACGTGACGCAAGTTGTGCTGCACAAACGCGCAACTTCCGAACAATTGCACGATTTTCTTTCATTTCCCCCCCCCCCCCATTTCTTCCGGAAGTTGCTTTTTATCTTTATATATTCCATATCATTACATATTTTCGAGATATCCTTTCCAAACTTGTAGAACTTTAATCGAGATCGAAAACTCGAGAAATTTTCTACGAAACGAACTGCTGCGATTCGACCAAAGTTAAAGAATTAATTTTTGCGGATAGGATGTTAATCGTAATCGACTCTTGCACAAATTACGCACTCGCACGCAACTCGCGCATACAAGAAGGAGGCAGAAGGGCAGTCGAAGCGAAGGAGCGGATGAATGAAAGGAGAACCGAGCGCGCGCCGCAAGGACGATAATTAATGACCATCGTCTGGTCCTCTCCAGTTCTCATTCGTGTATTTTAGACAAATCTAACGTTGCACAACTAACTGAGACGAATTGCCGAGAGTGATCGTGAGTGCGATTATTCATGCATGTGTGTTGAGCAGCGAGTGAGTTGTATGTGTGGGCGCATGTATATGTATGTGTATGTATGTGTATGTGTGTGCACAGAGTGGATAGTAAGGCAGACGATGCGCAAGTAGATATAAGTAAGAGATCACGATGTACGATCGAATTGTAATCGAGTAAAGTTGATGTTATTTAAAGTAACAAGATGCCAGTGTTATCTGCGTTCACGCAAACACGTCCTTTTACAGCATATCCTGCGTCTTCTATCTTGCTCGTAGATGCTGCTGAGTACCAAAAAATGTGGTAAGTAAACGCGCATGGATATTTTTGCAAAAACATAACTGCTTGCAAAATAATAAGTTCTAAATAATATATATAGATACCAAAAACTAGATACATTTTATTATCTTTTTTTAAAAAGTAGCAATAAATTTTGATACAAAGTTTTTTTCTTTTTTCATTATTGAGTACGAAATTCTGTTATTGAATAAAAGTCTCGTAAAAAAAGTGCGGTCAAAATATAAATATGTAAAAATTCGATATTTGGAAAAATACGAATCGGATTTGACCTTTTACGATTTCGCTGAATTTATTTCTTCGCCAAGTATTTTTATCGCCGTGATTCAACTTTCTCGCATTCGCTTCGTCACGTCGATATCCGGATTCGTCAAGAAACACCGCACGAGAATTCGCTGACAAGAGGAGCCGTGCA